CTCTTCTGAAAATGATCTTTGAGCTGTACCTCCCCCCTCTCCCACTTTTCATGCTGGTAAGGGATGGGGAGAAATATACTTACTTCTGTGCTGGCATAAGAATCAAAACCCTGAGAAGTTCCCATTTTTTATTAAATTAATGGAGAGCATGGGGATTGGAAAGGTAATTGTCATTTCTGTACAAAAAGGTAGAAGGATAGGAGAGTTTATGTAAACATTAAAGGACTCAGGCCTTCTTCATAAATCTATTTGCATAGATTCTTAGTTGTGCTAAATTTACGTCTTGATAAGTAAGGAGAGAAAAGATAAGACAAGAAGATTAGGAGAGGAGTTTGCACGCCCTATTTAGAGATTTCAGGGCCCAGGAAGTGTGCTCTTGTTCTGCAATAAATTTGCTTGTGGTTAGTTGCTGGGGGGGACCTTTTGCCTTTTTAAATAGGTGTTATTACTTGCTCTTACAAGTCTAAAGTGCGTGGTGTGACAGTGTGACGTGACTTTTGAGTCACCTGAAGTGTAAGGAGCCCAGCCACCCCACCTCCTTCTTGTAGCTGTGCATGGAAAACCACTGCCTCATCTATTCTGAGTCATCAGTGTATGTGTGAGTTGGCTGGGAGAGTAGCCTTGCCTCTGCATGGGAGGAGGCAGAGTGGTCAGCACTCACGAACTGTATGAAATAGAATCTGAAGGCTTGTTCTTATTGTTGGAGTCACTTTGTCTATGATAGGAGTCCTAAAAGGACAGCTAAGAATTCAGTTGAGGCAGGTTAAGTTGCAGCAGTCAGCTAGAAACATGGGTCAGCAAACTTTGAGAAGTGGCAAATCTAGTTTTCATTTGCTAGGAGTAAGTACATTTTATTGTGTAGAAGTTACACCTGTCATTTCTGGGCAGACATTTCCCAAGCCATACCTTTAGCTGTGATTACTATTGTGAGTTTTAGACCCTTATATCCACCTGTTTGCTGTTTTTCTCCGAATAGGTGTTCTTTCAAGATCTCAAATTTTCTTAGCTCCATGCTGAGCTCCTTTTCTCCCTGAAACCTGTTTCTCTTTCTATATCTTAATACCGTAATGTTGGGGCCAAGTCCCGCTACTCAGGCTAAAACCTCTTATTGTGTTCAGTGTCTTCCCACTATGTCATTGCCCTCTAACGGGTCTCTCTCTATCTTCATGATAAACTTCAACAGAAAAATCTACTTGAACCCTCTTTATACAACATAGGACAAAAAATATCTTGCTTCCTTGATCTATAGCCTCAATTCCCCATTGCCAACAAAATAACATAGAAATACCTTACTTCACATGTACAGAATCTTCTCTCTTGCCCTGGACTTTTTTTTAAACTTCATTCCCAGCTGAACATTATCTCTATGCCAAACCAGATAACTACTTATATGTCTCCAGAATGTTACAGTGATGTTCCTCTTTCTCTTTCAAATCTTTCTCCATCTACAACTTCCTCTACTCACTCCCCTCCAATTCCTTTTTTTCTTCAAGATCCTTTCCAAATATTCTCACTTCTCTGAAGCCTTCTTTAATTCTTTTAGTCAGAATCAATCTCTTGCTCCCCTATAATGATATGTCACCTTGCTTTCTTTTCTTCCCGAGTATCTACAACACTCAGTATGGCACAACTAGTTATACGACAGAGTTACAAGACAGACTTTGGTATTTAATCCTACAAGTAGACTGTAAATTCCTTATGGGCAGTTGATAGACTCACAGATATATTTAGTTGAGTACCATTTTGTCTAGGTTTTGCCAGCTGAGCTGGTGTTCTCCTTAGCATTGCTCTGTGCCAGTGAAGGAGCCAATCCTGAGTCATTATATATGTGATTTCATTAATAGGCTATAAAACCTGAGCGTTAAGCTGTGATAACGAAGCTAATTATTATTATTTTTGTTTTTGGATAATTTTTCTCCCTTTGGTTTTCTCAAACTTTTAATTGCAAAAGATAAAGATTTGTCCATAGTTTTGGTTCCCTTCATTGCTAATTTCCTAGTAAAGCTAAGAAATAATCTTTTCTTCTTTTTAATCACTGTGAAAACTGTTCTCCTTACAACGGTATATAAATGGTTACATGGTGTCCACAGCATGTAGTTTATATTTATATGGTTTTATGTTACTTTCAACGTTAAAATAAAGTTCTTACATTACCTGGCTGAAGATTACTAGTAGATACTTTGCCAGAAGTTTCGTCATTGCCTTAGAGAGAAACCCAAGTGCCAAGGGATCGTACACTTTGGGTCATTATTTGAGAACAGGATTTTCTTTTGGAGTGACAGCAACATATGGTGTAGCTTTTGGGGAGAAGTTGAGACCAAAGGCAAGGGAGAACCACCCAGTGGTCAAGAGCATAAATACAGTCATGGTTTTCTCACCAGAAAGTGACTTTGGGCAAATCTCCTAGTTCCTCTGAACCACAAGGGCCTCGTTTATGAAATTAGATGTTGTGAAGGTGAAATGAGCTGATGTGTGTAAAGAATTGAAAGCACAATACCTATAACCTAGCAAATACTCTTGTCATTATAACATTCATAATAACAGTAACAACAGTAATAATGATAATCTTAGGAGAGCCAGGTGAAACTGACAGATTCTGTGACTTTGTTTTTGAATTACCTGTAAGAGTGATTTATTTGTTATAAAGAGCTAGATGATCTTACAGAAGGATTTGGTCACAGTAGAAATAATGAGCCTTTAAGCAGAGGTTATTTTATGAAATTATTGAAAAAGGAAACTCTTTATTGATTATAGTCAATGTCATTGCTAACGCTGCAAAATAATATGTGAATGTAGTTTTTCATTAGTATTAGTGGCTCATTGAGAAAATGTGTGAAAATATCTCCCTTTGCAATTTGTGGTCTGAGACAAATCAAATTGAAACAATACAATAAGGTGGGCAGGGAACGTGGGGACCCACACACTTCGAAAAAGTGGGTCCAAACTTAACTGGCTGAATGAACACCTGACTCTGAGACATTTTCATTGACTACGTTATGTATAACATCCCTTAGTTGGCCATGTTGGTATGTAGTACCCTTTGTGAGGTCAGCAGTGACATTGTCAGTAAGACAGAAGCAATGATACTAAGCTAAAGTGAGTCTGTCAGTCACAACATTCACATCCTAGGGACCACCAGGCTGCTGTCTATATGGGTCAGGCACGTGTACTATTTAGGTAAATAGAACTGGAACGCTACTCTCTTTCTCCAGTTGCAGGTCCCAGTTAGCCTTGAGAACATGCTCTCACTCAGCTGCTAGGGTTTTCATTGTTGCGTGATAGGCACCCATGTGAACATTCATAGTAGTACCTTGAATGGTGATGGTAAGCTATGGTAAGTGGGTGCCTACCAAATTGAGATTTTTACTATCAGAGCAACCTAGGATATAAGGTTTTGCTTAGGGTTGACTGTGAATGGTCCTTAGCCAGCATATCCCAACTATCTTGTGGGAAAGAGGGGATGGTTGATATAGCAAAGAGACAGTAAAGAAGAGGCAGCAGACTACCTACGCATGTGAAATATTTTCCTGGTAAGAATTTTAATAACAAAGATGAATCTTAGAATTTAGGAATTTGTCAGAAAGAATGAGATCAGAGCAAAAAATAAAATTTTAAGAGATACCAACTTTGATTTCAGTATATAATTTATAGTATTCCAAAATGAATTTTCTGTAGAATCAGTTACCAACTGTACTAAAATTCTTTAATTTAGGATAGTATAATAGATACTGTCCATTCATTATGGACCTAAACATTTAACTGTATCATAATTTATGTTGAGATACTATGTTTTTTAGTATCCTAAGTTAAATTGCCTTCATAATAAATACATTCTTGATTTGTGAGATATCAGTAGATATCTGTACATTGTGTTGTTCCGACAGGGCAGGGCTCCACCCATACAGGAAAATAGAGTAGCGGCTTCCCCGTAAGGTGAGGGTGTGCCGGCTGCTTTTGTGAATGGAAATTCTGAGGCGGGTCAAATTTCTTAACTTTAAGAATTTTTCTTGGGTCACACAGTGTTGTCTTTTTATGTTTAACAGAATAAATGTGGGCACGAGGATTTTGGATGGAATTTTCATTTTTATGCAATATTTCTGGTTTCTGAAAAAGTAAAAGAATAATTTTAAGTACTCAAAAAAAAAAACTTTAAAAATTCCGTCAGTCCAGTAGGGGAAAACAAGTTAGAGGAAAGAAAGTCAAGAGCTAAGACAGTGCAGAACTTTATTTAGAAACATACAGTGAACACAAAAAAGTACTTGATCTCTGGAGGGTTTTCTATTGAAATTGTGGTGTCATGTAACTCTGGCTAGAAGAAAAAACTTTTTTTTTTTTTTTTTTAAGTTCCCCTAATGAAAGGAATTAGAGGATTGTAAGTTTGTCAGTTTGTGAAAGCATCAAGGCATGGTATCCTTTGACTTTTTATCTGTAAAGCATAGACTCTCTTAGTGTAGAAATATAAGTGTGTTGGCTTTTGGCTCTAGTGAGAACTTCATTAGGAAGGGAAAAACTTGGGAAGGGAATTGTACCACAATTTGAATTAAACACTTGCCAAAGAATCTGAAGCCAGCCTGAGGTTTATTGTTATGTTGAGTGACCCAAGACTTCCACCACTTCTCCTTGTGGAGGGGATTAGCTGTTGAACAAATTTGCAAGTACAGCATGCAGCTTTGTCAAATACCCAATGACATTTCTTTTCAGGGCTCTCTTGACTTTATACTGTTTAAATATCCTCAGTTGTCTCTTAATTTGCTTTCCTTTCTTTAATTCCTGTCAGATCTGAAAGTAACTTTTACATAATCAATTCCCTTGTCTAGGTTTCTTTGGTTATTACTTTTGAGTTGCTCTATATAAGTTGGTGTGTTAGTAACTTCCTTATTTTATGTTTTCTTTTCTTGTTTAACATGGTTTCATAATCTACACAGTGCCTTTTTGTTATTAGGATTGTTACGCAATAAAAATCCCAATTGACTTCTTTTTATTTCACTTTTTCTTTGTAGGCTAAGAAATGGCATTTCAGAAGGCAGTGAAAGGGACTATTCTTGTTGGAGGAGGTGCTCTTGCAACTGTTTTAGGACTCTCTCAATTTGCTCATTACAGAAGGAAGCAAGTGAGTAACAGTACATGTATTGATTATAATATGCAACTTAAATCTGCTAAAGAACTGTGGATGGTGTGTGTGTACACTAACGATTTTGTTGAGAAATTACTTTTAAAGTTTCTCAGTTTGGTCTGAAAGAGGCTAATTTAGAATGGTTCCTTAATGATCCTTGAGAACTGTGTGTATCTCATTTTTTTTTAAAGTGAATTTCTTTTTCAGGAAGCATTGTTTAGCCTCTGTTTTGGCTCTTTGGTTTTAAAAGACTGCTTCATTTATGAGTGCCAGGGTTTGTTCATTTAGACTTCACTTGTCTAATTCATCAAAACGTCTGGATACCTTCTATGTTCCGGCCAAAAGTTTGTCTTATTAGCAGGCAGGCGACTGAGAAAGGAAATGGAAAAGAAAAGGCCTAGCTGAATCCTAGTTTTATTTCTTAAAGGTTTGGTTACTTATGTAATATTACCTTGTATGAGGTAAAAATTTCAATGGAAGAAAGCCATGAAAATGAGATTGATATGAAGTTTCTAAATAATTTAAAGTGCTCAGTTTTTATTTTATTTTATTTTATTTTTTTTGAGACAGAGTCTCACTGTGTTGCCCGGGCTAGAGTGCCGTGGCGTCAGCCTAGCTCACAGCAACCTCAAACTCCTGGACTCAAGCAATCCTCCTGCCTCAGCCTCCCGAGTAGCTGGGACTACAGGCATGCGCCACCATGCCCGGCTAGTTTTTTCTATATATTTTTAGTTGTCCAATTAATTTCTTTCTATTTTTTTAGTAGAGACGGGGTCTCACTCTTGTTCAGGCTGGTTTCGAACTCCTGAGCTCAAACAATCCGCCTGCCTCGGCCTCCCAGAGAGCTAGGATTACAGGCGTGAGCCACCGCGCCCGGCCCTATTTTATTTTTTTCCTTTGCACTACAGCTATGCCTTCCCGTAGTTCAAATTGATGCCAGGAAATAATTTTGCTGAATGGTTTTTGTTCTTTTCAGGCTTGAAATGCTGGCAACCATCTCAGTAGTTAGTATCGATCTCTTGTTGCCCCTCCCCTATGTCATGAGGGCATTTTGTGATACCTGCTTGGTAGTGGGTTCCTTTTGCAAAAATGAAAGTGTAGGAATTTGGTAAGCTCTGTGTAACTGGGTGATCCATGAGCTACTCATTTTCTACGTTTTTGTGGATATCTTTAAGCTGTGGATTATCTTGTACTTGTTTCTGTTTCTTTGTGCTACAAGGTGGTAGAGCTAGGCACATTGCTTGGAATCCCATATCCTGAAAGGTACCACTTCAAAACATGTATTAGGAAGCATCTATGTGCTGGCTTATAGTTTTAAAAAACAAGATCATTTTTATGTGCTTCCTCCTAAAGATGGAGAATATAGAATAGACTGTATTAGTCTTTCTTTTGCATTCTGAACTATAAGCACATCACCCTCAAGGTTTCCTAAGGCAGATATTATTATTTTTTTAATTAACATAATAATTGTACATATTTATGGGGTACATAGTGATGTTTCAATACATACAATAATATTATTGACTAGTTGACTTGCTATTGAATCTCTTCCTCACCCATTGATTGTGCATAGTGCACTATTTCTTTTAAAAGATTGCCTTGGTTTCTTAAAAGTAAGAGTGAAAAGATGTTGCTTCTGCTGAGGCTATTTGAGAAGTGCACTTGTCTTAGGGACATGGGCGTTAAGGGATTAGATTACTCCTGCCATCTTTACCGGTGCTATCTGAAATGATACTGGAAAATGCCAATGCCAAAGGTCACGATATCTAATATGATGAGTTGTTGCTAAATTTATACGTGGTTTATATCTTTTAACCACAGTAAGCATGTTCTACTTCAGAGTTTATAGCTTAACTTTGTACTTAGATAATACCGTTTCATTTTGTGTGTGTGTTTGATTTCTCTCTAATAATTGACCTTCCAGAATAGAATAATAAACAGAAGATTAAGAAATCAAGTGAAGGGTGGATTTTAGTCAGTAAAATCAAGAGCCTATTGATTCCTGGGACATTCTGTCATTTTATCCTTCCTAACTTAGATATCCTGACCACCCTAATAGCCAAATGAAATGGATATCAGCAGCTTAAAGTCATTTATAATTTTAACTGGACAAGTTCTGTTGAAAAAAATTACTACAGGCATATTCAGTCAATGAGTTGCATAAGAAATCCAACTGTGTACATATTTTTTTTTTTTTTTGTCGTGATTCTTATCCCTTTAAGACACTGCCATAAGCATATATTTTGGGAGTAGCAGGTGCGATTGTAGCCATAGGGATTGGCAAAAATAAATAAATAAGTAAAAGCAAGAATGAGAGAGAGGAAACAATTTATTTGAGCCATTGACATAAAGTGACCACAGGCCTTCCTTAACTCAGCTGTCCTCAGAAAATATCTGACAATCAGAGCCATTCTAGGGAGAGAATGTTCCTGACTTCTATAGTCAAGAAAAGTCTGCCCCTTGCGACACATTAATTGGCTACATTTTTGTTTGTGCACACTGAGGCCTTAAATGTGACTAGATATGCTCCATTTTTCTGCAAATTGATGCTTAAAGTATTGGCTTATTGCAGGTATATTTACCTACTGTGTTTTTACATTTTTTTCCAATTTTCTAAGATGACTTCAACTGATAAACTGCCTTCTATGAAGAATAAGTTAGTGTTGAAACTCCAAGAGTCAGTGTCCTAGAAAGCTGTGTGTTGACCTTAACTTCTGGCACATTTTGCTGCATTTCCACACTCTCTGTCTTCCTGTCCCCTGCTTGTGATCGTTTGGTACTCCTGGTACGAAACTTCCTTCCTAGAATACAGGCAGGAGCTGTATTCTCAATACAAATGGGTTGATTCTAAAAGTTGGTAAATTGTTAAAACATGTTTGGTGATGAGATAGTACCATAGGAGTGTTTATTTGCCAGGTCAGCTCACCAAAACCTTTTAGGTCAATTCTACAGTTAAATTAGCTTGTATTTACAAGGAAAATGATTGTATCTACTTAAAAAAAAAATAAACAGAAAACACAATGTAATAAAAAAACGTGGATTTATTTACCTTTAACCCAGTTGCTTGAATCCAAGCCACTGTAAGTGAGGGGATAGAGACCTTGGTGGAGACTGGTGTTTCTGGGGGCAGGGGAGGGGTCAGAGGTGGTAGCAGTGATTCTTTTGTCTTACTTTACTTCATAGTATGGCTTTTCTTCATATAAGCGTGTTGTTAACATTTATCTTACTTATGTTTATCAATGATGTATAGTGCCCACTCTTAAGCCAAGGGAAACCTAGAGGCCCAGATTTAGAAGAGATAGAGGTCATCATAGCCTAAGGAGAGAACTATTATTATTATTAATCTTTTGGAATGGGGTAGTCTGAATCTTCAGTTCCATTGCGAAAGGAGATGAACGTTGGTTGATTTTTTTGTGTCCACCCACGGGGAAGGAGGTTTGTGGCCACATGTGGCAGCTGTCTTCCAGGCCTTCTTTAGTTATGCACATAGGGGTTTTTAGAGTGGTCTCAGAGTGGCTTCCCCTTCCTTTCATTCTTCCTTTCATTTTCCATCTCCCTTTATTTTCTCACCCATAAGTTGTTGACTAAGTTTCCACGAGGCATCTTGATTTTTTCTTCCTCCCAGACCAGCTGTATGCTGAGGGACAGCAGGCTGAGTACTGGGACATAAGCGTTTCACACTCTCTTAAATCCGTCTGGGCGTAGAGCAAGCAGACACCTCTGTAGTGGTATGGAGATTTTTTAAGAGCAAGTTGATTGTGATTCACTATTTAGTATAAGTTGGTTTAATAATAAGCTTTTAGTTGGAAGGGACTTGGAGGACATCTTATCCAGTCTAACACGCAGTGAAAGGAAGTATCACTTTTGGGGGAAGCCTCATTTTTGTAATTCCAAGCTGGTAAGAAAATGGATTAGATGGAGAGGGAAATTTAAGTTAGGAGAGGGGGCCTTGAAGTACTTTCAGAACAGGTAAACCTTCATGAGGAACAGAGGTGGAGAGCTTTAAGAGTCAGGGCTGCATGAGGGATCCTCAGGAAGATGGGAGGAATGGCGACAGCCAGGGAGAACGCAGCAAGAACAGGGCAGGAGTATAAGGATTTAACCAGGGCAGCCCTGCTCTTTTCATTATTGGCCAAGGGCATTGTTTGAAACCTTTTTTTAAAACTCAACATTTTATTTCATACTTTCTAGGTCCTAACTGGAAAAATTGATGTGATGGTGTGGGCTTCTTTTTAACCCCAGTGGTGTGGTTGATATAACAAAAATCTATTTAGGTCTGAGGTGGGCTCTCTTGAGTAACACCTGCTGGGTTTGTTCCTTCCATTACCCTCTCTGAAGGGCTGGTGGGCCTTGAGAGCTGACTCTGAGGTGCAGCCTGAGAACCACTGAGAGCTTTCTCAAAGCCCGGATGTGAAAGACTGTTCTCTTTATTTTTCCCATACCATAAATAGGCAGGGAGTGGGCTTCAGCACATGGAAATCAAGATCTCTTTTTAGTGGGAGGAGTGATCTTATTAGAATCAGGGAATTGAGAGATTCTCATTGATTGACGTTCCACTCAAAAGCAGCGTAACAGAAAGACCAAAAGCGTAATCTTCGGAACAGTCTTTGAAGACTGCCTGCATTCAATACCTAGCTCTACTTTCTTTCTTTAATTTTTTATGTTTCTTCATCCTTATTTACTTATTTATTTTGCCTTTTATTTTTAGTTTCATGTCATAAAACACTAGAACTTACTCCTCCCATCTAGCTGTAACTTTGTATCCATTAACCAACCTCCCCCTATCCTCTCCCGGACCTTTCCCTGCCTTTAATACCCACAATCCTACTCTTTACTTCTATGAGCTCAATTTTTTTTTTTGGCTCCCACATGAGTGAGAACACGCATATTTACCTTTCTGTCTCTGACTTATTTCACTTAACATAATGTCCTCCATGCTCATCCATATTGCTGAGAATGACAGTATTTCATTCTTTTTGATAGCTGAATAGCATTCC